CCAAAAAAGTTAAATATTTGAACAATTCTTAGAGAAAAATGTACCATGTGCACATGTCATGGTCTTCACAGGGGGCTTCAGTAACATGATCATGAATGGGGTCCTTCAACTAATTAAAGTTTTCTCTGGAATTGGCCGATTTAAGATCAGTATATGGTGTCACATCAGAGGACATGGTTTTCAGAGACAAAATGTATCAAGTTCCTATGCTTTCAGAAATATATGGATGAAAAAAATGATTGCCATTTACTAAAATAGACACTTGTACAATTATGCAGGAGGTATTTATTAACATTTTTATGCTTTTCTTTTTAATTTGTAAAAGTTAATTTACTGAACCATGCTTGAGACAGTCACACCTAGGGATATGCCGGTATCAAATTTTCATGTTGCGATTAATTGCTAATGCTTTTATCACGGTATGCGGTATTATCACGATATTGAAATTGAGTTTTAAAAAAAGTGCTGTCATAATACAGTATAACAGGTTTAATAACTTTTTTCTTATAACAAAAATAACTGAACATTTAAATGCAATAAAGCAATACAGAAAAATGTATAAAGTCAAAAGTTTTACACAGATTAAAGGCATTACCGAAAACCGGCACAAGTCTAGTCACACCATAGGACAATTTTGAGATTTGGCTCAAAAATGTAACAAAATCGAATAACACTGCAGTTTTTATAACAACAGGTCCATGTAGGACAAAGAAATGTTTAATGATTTACTGCATTTTAAATAACGACAATATTAATTAAATTCATTTTTATCTTGTGGGACAGTGAAAATTCCATGTCACGTCAACAACCCATTTATCGGATCAAAATACAGTAAAAACAGTAAAATTCGTAATTATTATTACAATTTCAAATAACTGTTTTCTATGTGAATATAAAGCTGAATTTTCAGCATCATTACTCCAGTCTTCAGTGTCACATGATCCTTCAGAAATCAGTATAATATTCTGATTTGCTGCTCAGGAAATATTTCTGATTATTATCAATGTTGAAAACGGTTGTGCTGCTTCATATTTTTGTGGAAACCGTGATATTTTATTTTCCAAGATGCTGTCGTGAATAGTAAGTTTAAAAACAGCATTTATTTGAAATACAAATCTTTTGTAACATTATAAAAGTCTTTACTGTCACTTTTGATCAATTTAATGCGTTCTTACTAAATAAAAGAATTGATTTCTTTTAAAAACCCAAACCTTTGAACACTGAAATGGTGCTATATGTTTATTTTGATCTCATATCTCTTCAATATCTCAGGTATTTCTCACAAAAATACATTAAATGGAGAGCAAATGGAACTGACTGATATCTGATGTTTTTATTTACAGCAAATGCCACCAAACTAAGTCAGTTTTAGGAAGCAAATCATACATAAGATCTCCTTAATATCTCAATTGTTTCTCCTGGACAGAAGTGCAATTATAAATGTTTGCAATTTTTCACGTTTCTTTTGACAGCTCCATGTACTGTACATCTTGCAGTGTTTCAGAAGAAAATTCTCAACAGTGTCTCAAACTGAGCCCAGATTTGCCAAGATGTTCATTTGATACCTTTATACGCTTAACTATTGAGTCATTTATGTATTTTTACTCATCTCATATTTTTACTCATCTCATATTACTCATATTTTTACACACTCCTTCGGATAGGGGAACATCTTGATACCTCAATGAAACATATCTGAGAATTCTGTTAAGTCTTCTGAGATATGAAAGATAAACCTTTGAGCAATAGTTGTACTTTATACTTAAATACTTGCATGAAAGGTTTTGTTGCATTTTGTTACCTTATTTATTAAATGCACCAAAGTTTGGTGTAGAAAATTGCTAGTAAAGCTCACAAATAATCTGAAGAATGGCAAGTAACACATTAAATAAATGTGAAATTTTGAAGTAGTAACACTGAAATATTTATAGTGTTTAATATTTTATAGTATTATAGTATAATAAAAATGAATGTATTTTCTTGCAAAACATACTCTAATAATCTTTACTTGCAACAAAATTTCACGTGAAATTTTGAAGTAGAAAGACTATATTATCAGATAGTATTTTATTGTAAAACATACTCTGATAATTGTTTTATTTACAGCTTTGAAAAACCATTTTTTACAGTGAATGTCAGGTTTGTGTCGTTCAAAGCCTTGATTAGCTGTGTTATATCTGTAATGTCTTCCAGGGACTCATCTCTTCCTGTGGCCGTCGACGGTCAGGTGTGAGTGAACGCCGAGCGCTTTCTCTTTGAAGTGTGTGCATCACTTCCTGCAGGGCCTGTAAGGTTTGATAAGAGAGAGTCCCGCTGCTGAAGAAATGATTCCTCCACGCTGATTTGCGCTCATTCTGACATGTCTTTTCTGCGGTTCAACCGGTGGACGGTGTTCGCGGGAGTCATATCTTCTGAGCTTTGACGGGAAGGATAATTGAATTGTGTTTGTCTGAAGTGGCGGATGAGCTTGTTTCACTCACAGGGTCAGTCATGAGAAACGCTGCACTTCAGAGTTTCGCTCGTGCACTTCTGAGAACAACTCTATCTGGCGGCGAGATGCTTGTTTACTTGCGATAACTCTCTGAACGTTGGCTGATAACTCTGGATCTGATGTTGGCCGTTCAGGTTGATGGCGTTGGGCGTTTTCCAAAATGTTATCTGAGATGATAACAGCATCTTGAAAAAGAGAGAGGATTGAGTTGTTGGCTCTTCTCTTGCAATCTAGATTGGTCTCAACACAAATACGAGGTGTTTAGACTTCGTGTCTTGAGTTGTTAAAGAGGTTCCACTTGTATAATAGTACGGAAAAGTTGTTTAGATGTTAAAGGGATTGTTCAACCAAAAAATAAAGTTCTGTTCATCATTTACGCAGCCTCATGTCATCCTGCGTATGGCGTCTTCTGTGAAACTCAAAAGGAGATGTTTTGCGGAATGTTCACGCTGTTCTTCTTAAACTAAATTAGAACTGAAGCCCTAAAAATGACACAAAAGCACAACTAAGCACAACTTATATTTCAGGTCTTTTGAAGTAAAAATGATTGCTGAGTGCAGTGAACAGACTGCAGTGTGAATTGTATTTGACAAATTCTATTTATACTTGTGTTTAATGCAAATATGCAGAGTAATTTTTTTTCCTGGCTTGATGCAGGGTTATTATAGTTAACTAAAAACCAAAAACATAAAAAAAACTCATTACTTGAAATAAAGTAAAATTAGCTGAAGTAAAATTCAGCAAAATATCTAATTTCATTTAGTTTTAATTTGAAGTACTAAAATAAAAAACGAAATAAATTTAAACTTCCCACTTCTGAAAAATTGTATGGAAATATACCAAATAAAATGATAAAACATTAACTAAAATGATGAAAATATACAAAAAATAAAATATAATTAAAAATATTAACAAAAACTATAAAAATATGTCAGTAATATTAAAATAACACTGGCTTGATACAGTTGTAGTTAACTAAAAAATAAATAAGAAATAAAAATGATACATATTAGATGAAAAACAAAATGAAAATTATACATGTTACTTTGAAGCACTAAACTGAAATAAAAATAAATTAAACATAAATAGTAATATTAACACAAATCTAATAAAAGGGCAAAAGCACACAAACATTAACTCAATTTAAAATGGAAAATATCAAAATAAAGCTAATTTAAAATATTAATAAAAACTAGTATATAGATAATACTAAATACAATATAATTAGGGCTGGGCGATATGGCAAAAAAAATTTAATCTTGATCTTTTTATGATTTTTAACTAGTCAACTTGAAAATGTAACTACAGCATGATTCAAGTAACTTTTTCTTTATTAACCCTCCAGTTAAAGAAAATTCTATTCCAAGTGCAGCACACATGAAGTTGTCAACATGATGTAAATGTTAAACAAATCACTTGTTAAATATCTTTGCAGAAAAGATGCATGAACTACAACTACATTTTGTACAAACTTGTCTTATACATATTGTATGTTCAGAAATAATATGACGAAAATGCTTTTAAAAAAATCTCAAGTCAAGGTATAATTCAAATTCAAAATGACTAATGGTATAACACCAGTAGACTATTATTAACTATAAATGTTCTGTAAAACAATGAACAGCAGCTTTCAGCCTGTCACCATGATGCAAACATTAAAATTTCACACACACAGTAGTAGTTCTTTACAGGTTTTTTATTCGATTGCGCTGCTTTTCCATTGTTTTTTCTATGTAAACATGGACACGTTTGACTGTTGCGCTCACGTCTCTTGCAGCATCTCATGCATGAAACGGCAGTCTAAAAACACGGCGCTCAAATTAAAAGTTCACTCCCATCTTCTTGCATGTTTTTCTTATTCCACTGCCCGTGTCGCATCTTTGTCAACACAAAAGCGCATTCTGTGTGATATGAATGCGTCACACGTGAGCGGTTAATCGCGTTTGCCGACATGTGTTTGGATCATTCTTTTCTCTTTCCTGTTATCATTGGCATAATGTCAAAGTGTCTAATTCTAATGTTTGATAATATTTTCGCGATTCCTCGATTTCTAAAAAATAAAATCGTGGCAAAACATTCAATTTGAATTAATCTATAAAATCGCGGAAAAATCGCCCAGCCCTAATAATAATAGCTAAATAATACTTAAATGACATTAGTTTAACATCATGATGTCAAATGTCATTTGTTCTCAACATTAATTCTCAGTTATGTCAAGTCATTTTAGTGACACATTTGAGTGAATTTTAAGAGCTTGAACAGAGTGAAAGATTTTACTTTAAAGTACTTTCTGTTGTTGTATTTTAATGTGTAGAATCACTATTGGTTGAATTAATGAAGAGTTTAAAGACTAAGAGTTTAAACTTTGGCGTTTTGTCTTGAGCAACTCAACATGCCACGGGACGGCAGTAGGAGTGTTAGGAGCTTGTTTGAAAGCAGTCACTGTTGTGATTTTGTTTGGCGCCGCTGAACGCTTCACCGTAACTAATCGGTGTTTGTTGTCCTGCAGCGGTGTTCACCGAGGTCCCTCATGACATCACGGCGCAGAGCGGGCAGGACGTGGAGATGGCCTGCTCCTTCAGAGGCGCCGGATCGCCCTCCTACTCGCTGGAGATTCAGTGGTGGTACATCAGGAACCACAGAGAATGGACCGACAAGCAGACGTGGAGCACCAATCAGGTACAGGTTAATGCAGCGCTGTTCTGAGTGATTGCTGAAATCGTGTGTGTTGTTGAGGAGAGGAGCGGTGCTTTACTAAATGATCAGAGGAACCGTTTGCACCTGCTGGACCAGAAAACAGGTGAATAAATCCCTCAGACGCACACTGAACCCGAGCCACAACTAGAGACGAAGGGGTGTACTGTTTACACCAGACAGAAAGACACCACCTAGCAACCACTCAGAACACTAGTAACTACTTAGAACACCTGAGCAACTACATAACAACCAAAACACTCTAGCAAACACCTAGCACCACCCAGAACACCCTAGCAACCACACAGCAACCAAGAAATCTCTAGCAACCACCTACAGTAGAATACGCTAGCAACACCAAAAACACCCTAGAAACCACATAGCAACCAAGAACACTTTGGCAACCACCAAGAGCACCCTAACAACCACTTAGCAACCACCATAACAAATGCATAGCAACCAAGAACACACTAGCAACACCGTAGCAACCACCCAGGGGTGTGTTTCCCAAAAGCAACTATGGTCGCAGGTTCCGTCGTTACCAATAGAGTTCAATGGAACTAACGACCAGAGTTAGCTAATGATGCTTTTGGGAAATGCACCCCAAAACATTAGCAACCACCCAGAACATTAATAACTACCTAGAACACCCGAGCAACCACATAGCAACCAAGAACTTTCCAACAACCACCTAGAATGCCCTAGCAACCACTGAGAACAATCTAGCAACCACATAGCAACCAAGAACTCTCAAACAACCACCTATAATGCCCTAGCAACCACCGAGAACACTCTAGCAACCACATAGCAACCAAGGACTCTCAAACAGCCACCTAGAATACCCTAGCAACCACCCAGAATACTCTAGCAACAGCACAGCAATCAAGAACACTCTAGCAACCACCTAAAATACCCTAGCAACCACATAGCAACCAAGAACACTTTGGCAACCACCTACAATACTTTAGCAACCACAAAGAGCACCCAGAACACCCTAGCAACCGCATAGCGACAAAAAAAAATTCTAGCAACCACTTAGAAACCACCCAGAACACCCTAGCAACTGCATAGCAGCCAAGAACACTCTAGCAACCACTCAGAACACCCTACCAACCGCATATCAATCAAGAAAACTCTTAACAACCACCTAGAATACCCCAGCAACCAAGAGCACTTTGGCAACCACCTACAATACCTTAGCAACCATTAAGAGAGCACCCTAGCAACTACCCAGAACACCCTAGCAACTGCATAGCAACCACCTAGAATACCCTAGCAACACTAAAACACCCTAGCAACCAAGAAAACTTTGGCAACCACTTACAATACAAATTAGGCATGTAACGATTCACTCAACTCACGATTCGATTCGATTCACGATTTTGATTCCACGATTCGATTCACGATTTTTTTTTAACAAAATTAGATTTAAGACAAATAATAAATTAAATGTGTTCTTTTATTATTGCTTGGACAAAATGCTGCACGTTTCTTTGTGAAATTGAAATATAACA